AATTTTTCTCCCCAGACAGCTCCTTTTTGAATGCTATGTATAAACTGTGATTCAGACAAAAAAGACTCGGATGTGAAAAATGTTTCGTCTACGGCTGGCGAGCACAACAGCAGTCATTAAGCTGGGCTTTTATGAAGCTCACTGCATGCTCATAAGCCAACTTAAAACAAACCTTAATGGATGATAAAGTTGCAAGTTTTACTAAGCTGGCAGGATCAAAATGAGGTTATGGGAGAAATGAAATTCCATGTAAATAAATTTGCAGTACAGGAAAATGAAGTTATCAATTTATCAAAGAATTATATATACAAATAGTCAAACACATAACCACAACTTCCTTACTCAGTCATATAAAAAATCAATTAGAACACGGCAAGTATGGCAGCTGTGGTAAAGGTAAGGCCTTAAATTTCTCTAATTTCCCATAAATGTTAGGGAATCAGTCCTGATATCACCATTCTTACATAACAATCCATTCAGCTGTATTTTTATCGTGTCATCAGATCTTAAATTAACTTGGTGACTTTCAGCAGCAGAGCATTGGGGAAGGACAGTTTTGTCTAATCTCATTGGAGAAACTTCAGTCCTTGCTAACAAATCTACTTCCCATTCTATTAATATAAGACCTATTTAAGCAAATGAAAGTGAATGGAATTTGCTAGCCGTGAAAACTAAGCCTTATTCAAAAAGGGTTATTTCCTTCAGGCAAAATCCAAGCAAAGGTCTTCTTGAAGACCAGGGCTACACAGCAGCTCAGAGACACTGTGAATAACATTGACACTTGTGAGATAATTAAATGTGCTTTGAAAGAAGGGGAAATTCAACTTGAAAAGAGGAAGCTGGTTTTGGACAGAGGGTGCTTGCTGAAAGAAGCACATACATATTTGTGATAGGAAAGAGTTGATTTTCTGTAATACAGGCTTTCTGCATATGGTGGAGGACGGGCACTGAGGACAGCGGAAAGAATGAACATTTCTGTTGTCAAGATCCATACTGGAGTATTTTGCTACATCTGAGACAGGAAGCCTGGAGAAAGAAATAAGGTACTCCCTAGTATTGTAATAATGCTTTCAATTGAGTGGCTTTGCTTTTTTATTTATCTGATAATGATTTGAGCAGTTACTGAAGCAAGCCTTTGTAAATGCTCCTATAAACAAATAGGAGCATACATTTGTAAAAATGTAATTGCTATTAGTAAAGTGGCTCCACAGCTGCTCTCTATTTCATCTGAATCACAGCTGCTAATTGTAGCAGCTTCACACACATCCCTTATTCCCTGGAGCAAACTGACCAGTCTACAGCAGAATGAGCCAGAGCCCATTCTACAGTGGCGTAAGCACAGTTATTTACTGAATTCCTGCAGCAGGGCATATATGATCAGAAACTGGGCAAAAGGACCAAAGTGGATCTACAGGGCCTTTCCCGATTATGCATGTTATAAGGATGGTGGTCTTAATTTACACCAGTAGATAGGAGAATCAGCTCCTTTCTTCCCAACTACTGTAATTCTGGTGGTTGAAGGGAGGGACCCAAAACCAAAGGGCAAAACCTCTTCCTTTAGCTTTGTAAATCAGTTAATATGCCATGAGAAGCACTGTGAGAAAATCCGTATGTGTCCCCAGAGTGATTTCTGCACTAGAACTGAGAGCAGGAGGGCTTGGCTCAAATATTTAACTGCACTTCTGAATATCACATATTTATTTAATAATTTAGATTAATTTATTGCAAGAAAAAGTAGCTCCTGATCAGGGATCCCCCTGTTTAAGAAGCAGTAGAAGGTTTGTGTCACATGCCCAGCTGGTTTTGAAAGACACTTATTGAAAATAGAGAATGTAATACCTGAGGACTAAACATATAGTAGTACATTGTATGGCTGCTAATCCTTGTTAGCTGTGTTGGGGTATAGGTTAGGAATCAACTACAGCTTCATCCTTTTGTGTACGTATCTTGCCATCAGAGATGCCCTGCAAACTGCTGTTTGAGGTTATGCTTGTACTGCATTGTGTAGCCATGCTGCCATTCCCAGGCAAAGTGTCCTGTGCAGAAGGAAGCAGGAGCTTCAGAAGAGGGGCAACCTAGGAGTGGGCATTTGAATTCTCTCTTCTGTACAATGACTCTTGAGGGAACTCCAGCAACTGACTGGTCTGTTAATCATCTGGCATCTCTAAATTGTCACCTGCGTGGTGCGCTCTTTCTGTTTCATTGCAAAGTCAAGCAGGTTAGTGTGATCTGGTGAGAAGTAAATCCAACAAGTGCTACTTTCCAGCTGACAAGTTTGCTTGACTAACTTTGAGGCAAGTGCGAGGGCGAGGAAAGGACAGACACCACCTGATGCGGTACCTGTGATGCAGAAGTGGTTCAACTGACTTGCCAATTCTGTGGCCAGGTGTAGCTTAGGGTGTGCAAAAATATGTCAGCGTGACCTGTCCTTTAGATGGCACTCAGAATAAACACCACAGCTAATCCCAATGAATGTCTCATTCTAGTTGATGCCATTCTTCCCCTCCAAATTTCCCCTGCAGTTTCACTTACGTGGAGTACATGTTCATGTCCTATGATTTGTGCTGTGGGATCGTGCATCGTTAGGCAGTCGCTGTGCTCTCTTCTAGAGACACCTGCCCTTTAGTTGTGGATGAAGAATTCTGCTTGCAGAGGCAGCGGAATGCTCCATGCTACTGGGACCAAAGGTATTATTTAAATAATTGGTGTTGTTTAATTGTTATTAAAAGAGGAGTTTCTGGATGTTAGAGCAAAGTGATACCAGAATCATAGAGAAAGTCATAGTTCTCCTGAAGATCTTAGATATAATAAAAGGATGTTACTGAAAGAGGGAATAGTCAAAGGAATAAAAAATGCATTCAGAAATCAAACATTAGGGGGACAGAGGGTTTCTTTTAATGTAATAACAACATAACTAAGCAACAAGCTGAGAATTTTTAAATGTAACTTGGAGTAAAAGATTGTTCTAAAAGAACGAGCAGTAGAAGTTTAGCAATTAATTAAAACAGTGCCACTTTCTAGCTGGAGAAGTACATAGGAAAGACAAGTTGCCTAAGTAATGGTATGCTTTTAGAATGTGTCCCTTGTTGGACATTTATGTGTTTGTATGGCTTGGTATTTGGGTGGAGGGCATCCTGGAATTCTCTGACCTTGCCACATTAAGGGAATTTTCTTAAGTTGTGATTTACTTTGATAACATTTGTTCAAATCAACCTGTATTACAACATGAGAGAAGGCTGGCAAATGCATTTTTAGCAGAATTTCATTTAGAAGTCTCTAGGATAGCTTTCAGGTCAGCGGTGTAAAGTCTTAGTCACAGATGTCCTGTTTCCAGGAGGCTCACAGCACGGCTCATGGAGCTACTCAGTGTTGCACAGGGTGGAAATTTTAGAAAAATTCCCATAGTAGGTTACTTGTTCAGTGGCCAGTTTTGTTTTGAGTTCATCATGAAACATGAGGGAGGAGAGTCTTCCCATAGAAGATACATGCCTGATGTAAGAAAATAAACTAATTACATGTAAGAACATGTAAGAAAGGAACATTTTGAAAGGAAGTGAAGAGCAGTGAAGGAACTTTAGGAGTCAAAGAGCACAGATTTGACAGTGTCTTTCAAAAGATAATGACTACATCCAAAAATGAAAACAGGAAAAAAGAGAGCAAATTAAAACCCAGGCAAGCATATCAGATACAAAGCTCTTGTTTACTCCAAGACCTTCATGCTTCACTGTGCGTATTGGGCTCTCACAGGCTGGACTCACATGCTGGATTAGGAGAAACAAGAGACAGAAAGTACAAGCCAATCTCAAAATAGGGCTTTCTGGCAATTGCCTTCAAAAGTAAAGGAAGTGAAGTTGCCTGTTTTTCCTGAACATCCGTCTTAGAGTTCTTCAGGGAAGGAATCCCCCTGTACTCAGCCAAGTGGGAACTGCCTCATGACTTTTCTCAGGCTGGTTTAGGCCAAACCAAAGCAGTCATGAATAGGGCCAGGAAAGCACATGTACTCATATGGTTTCCTCTCCTTTCAGTGATTGGACTGCAGAGATAGTAAATAAAGGATTGAGTGTGACTACTGTCATAATTTCAATTAATATACTTCTCCATTTTTCATCTCTGACATCCACATATGATTTGTAATTGTGAGTCATGGGGACATCTCCAGGAATGGCTGACAAAGCCTCAAAAGGCAAGAAAGACACACCACATAGTGCTAGCCTTATTTAGCAAGGGAAAACGATTACCTCCCCATGGACTGACCTCATATAATTCTGGATGCCGGAGAGAATTTTTAAGCCCTGGATCATCAAACCACTCCCATCTCATCAGGTATCACTGGCACATGAAAAAGTGCCACTACCACAGCTGGATGCATCAGCATGTGAACAGAAAAACTGCACATCCATACATAGACCCACGATGCTCTGAAGCGGAGCAGAGTGCTCATGCACTGGGCCATGGCCACGAAGAGGGAACTTTGGTCTGCACCGTATTTCAGCAGCAGGCATACCCTGAAGCAAGATCTATCTTTGCCCTCTTATCTAGCCCCCTTTGACTGCTAAACAACGGTGAGACATAACCAGACTTTCAATGGCCTCCAGATATAAAAGAGAATTGAGCACAGAATTTGTATTGAATATGCAAAAAAATGGTGTAAATAGCCAACACAGAGGCAGGAATTCTCCTTCCTCCCCTCAGTCTTCTGGACACTGGCTCCAAGCTTTGCATTTGCTGGTTAAAGGCATCTTGTAAAAAAGGAGAAGAGAAGCTGCTTGCAGCACTGAAGTTTTAGTGGCCCGATTCATGATTCAGCAACTCTCTATAAAGCAGCTTGTGTAAGAGAAGCCGCTCGTCACACTCAGTGACCTGCCTCTGCAGGGAATGTGGATGTACACCCCTCTGCAGACTCACGGGATCCTTCTTCATGCAGCCATCCCCAGCAACATGCCTTCTCCTGGAAGACAGCAGCCAGGAAACCATGTAGGATCTTTGAGTCCTCACAGCTGCAAATCCAACCCATAAAGAAAGGCAAGCGGTGTTATCTGGTATTTTTGCCTGGGTTTTATTTCTCCCTCTCCCTCTTATTTTCAGTTCCGGTTTTGGTGAGACTGCTGTGAGACAGTCATTGCAAAACATGCCTAGCTACAGCAGTACACCATCTCTACTTCACTTACGTTTCCAGTTGCTAAATTGTTTTAATTTCTTCTCTTACACACCAGCACTGGATCAAAAAATAGGGCTATCCCTTTTTTTTTTTTTTACTTGACTGAAAGCAAAAATTCTTATTCACAGGAGGGAAATATGATTGAAATTTGACTGCTGAGAAGGAGTTTCTGTAGTTTTCCGTAGCTTGGCACAGGCAACTTTATTTAGGCAATCAGCTGTGTGGTTTAATTCAGTGGGGCCCAGCCTAGGAGGAAACCCCCTTGATAAAAGTTCACCATGTAGTAGGGCGGCTGGAGCAGAAAGAGAATGACCTCTGTCTACAACAATGGATTCTGCACAAGCCTCTTCTGCTACGACAGGTGAATCACAAAATTATCTATATCATCTGAGAGGTTTGGGCTTCTTTCTCCCCTTTCCTAAGAAAGGCAGGATGAATCTGGTCTGGAAAAAAATATAATTCACAGGTCTGTACGTTACAGTACCCACACAAAAAACACGTCAGCAGACTGAGGGGAATTCTGTATTAAACAGAAGAGGAGACTTGCTCCCAGAGACCTGGGGTAAAGGTAGAGACCCAAATGTACCAGCTTAAAATAAGATATGACAAAAAATGGGAAACCATCAGGAAGTTGTACTACCAGTCAGGACAGCAGACAGCAATGTCACTGTTCTTAAGTAGTATGAGAACTGAGGCATTTTTACATCTGCTCCAGCAAAAGAGGATTCTTTGGAGCTGTTTAAAGGAGGAGAGTGAAGGACCTTGGGAAGGGTGATGTGGAGGCTTCTCCCAAATATATAGAATGGAAAAACACAAAGGCGCTGCTAAAATGCAAACCAGCTGCCACAGGCCAGTCAGATGCAGGTGCTGTTCTCTCACCAGTGCATGGGGACGGTATTTGGCTGTTTACCGGGATTATAGACCCTTATACCACATGAACCCAAGCAGCCATAGAAGTGTTTTGTTTATGAGATGAATCATAGGTGTTTTTATCTTTTTTTTGAAACAGATACTAGTTTTTCTTGACCACAAATTATGTGCTATTTAGCCTCAACTTTTTAAACCATATAGGATTTCTCTCAGTTATCTTTTTCACTGCCATGAAGGATAGGTTCCTGTTACAAAACTGAAGGTCACACACTTCATCACTTTCAGTAGCTGACATCATCGTCATCTCCCCCACCTCCTCCTTCTGTGTCACCTTCTCCTCCCCCTCTGCTTTCAATTCCCCCATCTTCTTCCCCACACTGCCAGGCCAAGCATGCTCCACATTCCTCTTCCCTCCACACCAGGCGCTTTGGGTATTCGTCCTGTCCCTTGCACCCCGGGGGCTCTGTGTTCCTCCCATGGCGTACCCTGCCTGCAGTAATCTTGCGCCACATCACCTCCTCTGTAAACCAGCGATCAGTCATGGCATGCTTCTTGTTACTAAAGGCTGCAAAGCACACAGAAGTCCTTGCACCGCTCCACGGGAAAAGGTGAGATGATGAACTTTTAGCGAGAGAGAGACTATTGAGAAACTTCTTGTTTTACCGCTTCTTTGGGAGTACTGGAGGAGGTACTGGCGTGTTTTCAACCTCTAACATATTTCTTTCATTCTTCTTCTTACAGCATCATGGAGGTCTGCATATTCTTCCTTTATGCTATGATACTTCTCCCAGGTAAAAGATGCATTTTTAATTGTAAAAACTGTTTTGATTATTGGTGTCCTGCTACGTGATACTTTCTCATTCACTAAGAAAGAAGATCATTCCTTAGCAGTAATTAATCATTTCTGTTGCACAATCAAGGTCATATAGCCTATGTGACATGTATTTAAATTGTGTGCAGGGACTCTATATAGTAAGTACTTTCTCTCTGCACCTTTGTATCTTTACATTACACTTGTTTTATGTTGCGCTCAAATTTTTCATTTAAATCTATCTTTAAAATGTGTGTATATCACCTCTGTATATTATGATGGAGAGCAGTATGAAATTGAAAACTGACAGTTTGATATGGGGCAACTGGAGTTTTAGGCAGAGATCATTTGGCAGTCTGGTGCTCTGGAAGAGCAGTCAAAACTTTGCACCAGGAGACAGACTGTAAATCTTTTCCTCCTTTTGAATGTGGCAGAGGTGTTTTTTATCTTCTGGGATAGAAGACTGCATTTCTCATTCCAAGACAAGACGGTCCTCCCGGCCTATCACCACCCGTAATAATGGGTACATGCACTGACGAAAGCAGGAGAAAAATCATCCCTTGTGTAATACAGTTCATGTTTTCTCTGCATGAAGGCATAACTGTGTTTATTGACTATTTCTGTTAACACAATCAGCAATGGAACAGTTAAAGCTGACTTTAATCTGTCATTAAACTCTGGATTAATTACAGAACCGTTAAATCTGACATTTAATTTATCATTAAACTTCAGATTAATTCTTCAGTGAGACTGAAAGTGTTCACCTGTTTCTGACCTTCTGGTCACATATTCCCTAGACACCAACATTTACTACACAGTGTGCATTTCACATTTTCTTCAAAACTGCAATGCTGCGTTATTTTATTAGGAGAATTAACTCAATTTTTTTAAAATGAAATTGTGCAACTATGAGTCCTGTCACACCTCATGGGAGAATTTTTGTCTAAATGCTGGTGGTTTTATTTCTGCTGTCATTAAGTGGTGCCTCTGTGAGCGCAAATACTTGGTAGCTGATGGAAATCTTAATTTCTTCTCACTCTTTGTCTAAGGTGTTGCTGCCAGTGTGCATCAGGTGAAATCATTTCTCAATCACACTGCATACCTATCCTGCTATTTTCCAAATTCTCAGAAAACTGACATAAAGGATTTAAGAGTTTTTTGGCAAAAAGGCGCTGTCGAAGTAGTCCATGAAGTATACTACGGCCAAGAAAAACATGATAACCTTAGTCCTAAATACATAAATCGCACCAAGATGGATATGGACAAATGGACCTTGCAATTATTAAATGCAGGAATTGTGGATGAGGGACAGTATACATGTATTATACAGCACAGAGATAAAGGATCGCCAAAGGTCATACACACATCTGAGTGCTTACTGCACATCATTGGTAAGTAACCTCTTCTAATTGTCATCTGCTCTGGGGTTTTTTTGCGGGGATTCTCTGTCACTTTGTTCAGTCCAGAAATGTGTGGTACTGTCCCCAAGCCACTGAAGATGTGGAGCAGAATTTCTAAAGATGGATAAGAGCATTCTCAATAGAAAATCCTCAGCTCTGAATGAAAAGTGCTCAGGTGGAAGCAATCAGAAGTTGTAGAAAATGAGGTGATAATTTGCTCAATATTACATCATTCCTGATTCCCATGCTGTCATAATTTATAGTGAAAACCATCCTGCCTTCTTCTTCTTGTCTCCTGCAAGTTTTATGGCTTTTAGGACTCTGGAAAATACACTTCTTTATTTGCATCTGATGCACTACCTTCTATTAAAAGTAGCAGTAGTTATCATTGTTGGTAGTAAATTACAATTGAAACATAACAACATTTCTGCAAACACACAGCTATTTTATGATCATCTAAATCACAGGGAAAATAAAGAGCAGCTCACATGTGGAGGAGTAGAAATTCATATATTCAGTTAAAGGAAGACTGAGAATATCTCTGAAGAAAAAATGCATGCATTGATGAGACTCAACCTGATATCATGTATGTTATCACAGGAAAAGGCAGCGAATTTTTTAACAGGAGAATGGAAGTGAGGAAGCAATCTTTTCCTAATGTTTTCTAATATTTTCAGTAATTCTTAATATATTGTTCTAATGGTTTTCTATTTTAAACTGTTCTGTTAGTAACCTTTGTCTGTATGCCTGTCTTCTCTCTTCCACTATGATAGTGCTAGTCATTAATAATAACAGCTTCTAACTTCCACTGGTGTTTTCAGGCTTCAGCATAATGCTTCAAAAGATAACAGGCCATGTGTAACAGCAGCCAAAAACAGAGTACCAGGACATCTGAGCCTCTTTAGCTTTGTGGTATCAGCAAGTGTTCCCTCCATCCACAGATAGAAAACCTAGATTGTTAATTTTGATTCTCCTGCAATCTACTTGAGAAGTATTTTCAGCAAATTTTTAGAACTCAGAAACTTATAATGTCCACTCAGTACCAAGGCCTCCAATTTAAGAGATGCCTAGCATGAACTGTTCAGTTAATTCAAGCAGTTAAATCAGTTATCAGCTTAGCCAACATCTGAGCAACATGTTATGGAAGTCTCATACTTAGGCACTAAAATTCTCCTAGACCTTTTAAGGTTTAACTTAAGAAGACTGTTTTAAACTATGTGCTGCTCTGTTTCTTCCAAATGACTCTCTGTTCAATAAGGTCCCAAAGGAAGGAGCAGTATAAAATCACATTTAAAAAAACCCCAAAACTTAAAAATAATAAGAATAGAAATGTACCTGTGCTTACATACTGTTTCTTAATTAGAATCTCATACCATACATAGAGGGTTTTTTGTAGTTTGGTGTGTCACACTTAAAATGGACATAAGAAAGATTGAGTGTTGTACAAGATAGGGCAGTCATACAAAGCTGTCTAGATCACTTGGTGACCAAGGCCATTCAGAAATTTTGAAGTACCTTCTAATACAGTTTACATGTATTATTTATATGTATTACATTAGGACAATATATAGATAGATACATGTACATTACATGTATTTTGTACAGCCAGGATGATTTATATAAGAACAGTGAACACAGATCCTTCTCCAGAAAGAAGGGAGGGCTTCACAATGTAAAGCTTTGGCTCTTAAAACAGGCAAGGTAGGGACCATGGTGACAAGCAGCTTAACTGGAAATTCTGCTGCCATAGCATATCTCTAGTACTTCCTTTGGATGGATCAAAATGGGAAGTAGGTGAGACTAGGGAAACTATTTCAAAATATGTGCTATTCAAAGTGTTGGGAGTGAAGCTGATGTCAGAATAGAAACTTAACAGTTCCTGTCCTCATTTTAAAGGGGATGTTGAAAAACTTGAAAGTGTGAAGAGATAACTACTAGAGTTAGCTGAAGGCTGGGAAAAATACAGTCCAACTGGAGACATTAGAAGATCAATCTGATTACCTTGTAATACAGAAGAGTGAGAAGAGTCTTGTTTTCAGAGTGTAAGAACCTGAAATACTGGTTGTTATAATGTAATATAAAATATAAAATACTGGATATTAAAAAAAGGCTAATTAGTTAAATGAAGATATAAAAACATTCAGTGGCTGTAAGCAAGTGAGAAATAAGGCACACTGTCACTTTAGAAAATAGAACAAAACCAGGTAGGGTGATTAAGCCACTGAGAAAAATATTAAGGACTTGATGGATCTGCTGTCTCCTGAGGCGTTTAAATCTAACCCCATAGCCTTATTGGAAGACATGTTATCTTTAAAATACAAAAGGCTTCCTGAAACATGCTTTTCTGTTAACAATCCAAAGCTCACATATACGTAGCCCACACCCCGCATGCAACCAACATCACTTTTCAGTAGATTGAGGTTCCAGAAGCCATAAAACAGAAGTGCTTTGATCAGGGTATATTCCACTATTTCCACTTGTTCACTGTCAATAAGATTGAAACTCTTAAATCACTTAGATGATGTGGCAAGTTCCACAGCCATGGATTGCATAATAAAATGCCAAGGAGAGAATAAATACTCCAAAAATGAAATATAAATAAATAGCTCTCCTGAGGGACAACTTAACTAAATTTTGTGGTGTAAAAAAGGTGGGGCTTTTTCCATTTTGAAGTCACCGTCGTGGACTCTCTTGGGATTTAAGTGACTAAGCTAAATCCTACTCCCTGTGTGTTGGGATAGAGCAAATAAAAGCAATATCATATTTCTTCATCCATCCATAATAACAACACACTACGGTGAGGATGGATTCAACACAACTGAGTGTGTTCACAGAGTCAGACCCTCTTAGGCTCATATTTTTTTAAGAATTCTTTTCCCTTTCTCCAATATTTCTCTATCTTGTCTTTAGTCCTTTTGTCACTAAAATAATGAAGTACTTTCAATGAAGTCTTGAGTCCATTTCTTGGTTTTTGTTGTTGGTTTTGTGGGGTTTTTTTACTTAATGTATGCCAACGTGCAGTCTGTACTATGTCTACATTCTCTCTTTCTCCTTTTCCTTAATATTTTAGTGTTTCTACTATGACCTTTTAACCAAACAAATCCTGATTGAGAATGTTTGGGAGGTTATTTAATAGAGAGCCTTGGTTAAAACTTCCATTTATCATTAATACTTTATGTTTAAAGAATTCTTTCCAATCCTGTTTCACTAACTATTTCTTGCCTGTGAAACTTGAGTTTTTAAAGTAACAGGTGTGTTTTTCATTGACTGGGATGAGTATCTATTGACTCAAAGTAAAAAAACTTGTACTGTAGTCACTTCCACATAAAAAGCTGAGATAAGGGAGGCCTACTGTCAAGCTAAGATGAGTGAATTACTTTATATGCTGCAAAATTATTACCCATAATACTGACAGACACCAAGGATATTTCTACCTATGACAGCACTGGACCTCCAACTTACCCCATCTGAAGTCCCTCAGATGATTTCTTTCTCTGTGTTTCACAGTTAGAAGTTTGTGGGTTTCCCCTTACCTATCAGGAGGTGAAGAGTAGGAAGCACTGTGTCCCATTCCCATTTTGTGCTTAAGCACTGACCTGCAAGCAGGCCAGGTTTGATTACTCTGAGGTGTCAATGGATCTAAAGGAGGTGGGAGAGACAGGCCCATTGCCTGGCTGATCAGACTTATGTCCTTGAATCACCCTGAGGACAAGGAACAGCAAGTCTACATGTACCAAAACCATAACAAACCCTTCTTGGGACTCCTGTTGTTTTCCTGAGAAAATTGTTTAGACTTGCTTCTGCCTGAAAATCTTAAGTGATTGTTAGGAACTGTCATGAAATGTGGAATGTCTGACTCATGATGCTTTCTTTTTGGTCTATTTCAGCCAACTATAGTCAACCTGAAATAGTATGGCTGCACACTGGGGAACTAAAGCCCAATGTGAATCTCTCCTGTTCTTCCAGCGGAGGTTATCCAGAGCCGAAGCAGATGACTTGGCTAATTTCACACAACAACAGAACATACAGGCTTATGCGTCACATGGATGTCTCGCAGGATGCTGTAACAAAGCTGTACAATGTTACTAGCAAGCTGAATATCACAGTTCCTAAAAACACCCTCACTAATATTAGCTGCTTGCTTCACCTTGGAGAGCAGCTGGGGAGCCTTGTCTCAGTGCCACTAGGCATAGGTGAGTCTCCATTTGCCCATTCCGATTTTTGCATGGGCAGGAGCAGGTCACATTGCAATAGAGCTGATCATAGATAGCAGCATAGTCAAGGCAGGGAATAAACCCTAAGTAGCAGTAGGAGTTGTTTACAAGGGTTGTACGTTCTCCATCCTGTTCACCAACAGCCACAGCCATCAAATTCCGTCTCCTTTCCATATGGGAAGTCTTACTAGAGTGAGGAGAGGGTACAGAGAAGGAAGGCTACTGCTACACAATCCAGAACACAGCCCTGTTCATCTCCTCCGTAGATTCTGCTGCAATAGCAACAAAGCAACCTGGATGTCTGGATTAGGCAGCAACCAGCCTCTGGAGGGGACAGCTGTTAAAAGAGATTGCCACTTCACAGAATCAGAGAACTGTTGAGTTGGAAGAGGAATCTGGAGATCATCTAGTTCAACCACTCTGCTCAAAGTAGGGTCAACAGGTAGCTCAGGGCATTATCCAGTTGAGTTTTAAATATCTCCCAGGATAGAGACTCCACAACCTCTCTCAGCAAACTGTTCCAGTGTTTGACCACCCTGACAGTAAAAAAGATTTTTTTTCTGATGTTTAAGTGCTTGAGCTGCTATTCTTAATCATTCCTTAGGGAGAGGCAGAAGGCTAAATGGAAGAGTCACTTGGACCAGATTTGGCACACAAACTGCCAAATAGACTGTGCTGAGTTTAAGTGTAAGTGTGAAGGCCATGGAACTTTGACTAGTCTTAAAAGCATCCCCGGTGGTTTTCATAACATTTGGCAGAATGAAGTGCCCATTCCAAAATTACTATCTGGGGATTTTTTTTTTCTGACACCTCCTGCAAGAAGCAGCTGGTGACCTGAGTTCCAATAAGACTTTACTGCTGCTTTATCTCAGGGTTCCATATGACTGATCCTTTCTTTAAACTAAAGATATGTTTTGTTTATCTCCTGGGACAGGAGAACATCCTTTGACACATTTTTGTTCGTCAGCTATGGCACAAGTGCATCAAAATAAAGAAAAGTGCCACTTTGGTCATAAGTTTGTTTGGCTTGCACATGTCACCTTTAGACAATGTTGAAGATGGAGAGCTGTGCTTCAACTGACAGGGAACAGGGAGCCAAGAAGGAATGGTAGTGTTGTAGGAAAGCTTACCACGGTAGTACAGGCATGCACCTTACTAGTGCAGATAGATACAAAAGAAGCTTGCCAGTCATTCTGAAAAAAGTTCCACAGTGCAGTTTTCTTCATATAAATTTAGCTAAAGGGTTAAGTCATCACTACTAGATAGGGCAAACTGCCTCTGATGTCCTTACATTCTAGGATTTTTAAATAAAATACAATACAGAAGTCTTCTGAGGTTTACACAGCTCTATACATTGCTCATGCATGTTAACATGGCTATATTAGCTATATTTGCTATAGTGCTGCATCCTCCTCGTCCTTCTTCAATTCTTCTCTCCTCCCTGGCTTTATGAAAGTAGCCATCTGATAAGCAGTGACAGTGGGCAAGCAACTAGGAACTCCACATAAACAACAGCTTTGTTTGGCGATAACTGAAGCTCTATCAGTTGCTAACCCTAGCAACCAAAACCACAAAAGCACAATAACCAGAAATAGAGGGAAACTCCTTTGCATTCCCTGCTGCTTTCACATCCCTTATGGCATTTCATTAAGCCTTGACCATCATTTCCAACAGATACCAATAACATATGCCAGGTTCTTCAGACTTGCACAGTAGCACAAAGTAGCATTAGCACAGTAGCTGCCTCGTAGGCTTTTGTATTAATTAAAGTTGCTGATCTCTCACATGTTACACAAACTTCAGGAAGAGTACTTTGCCTTACTGTTGTTGAAGTGGCCATTAAGACGTAGTAGTTTTGCTAGTTACTGGAAATGGAAATAAAGCAATGTGGATAGTGATTGCTTGACTCTATTAAAGCACTATAAAAGCAAAGGATGGTGACGACCTTTCCCTAAACTTCTAATTCACATAACTTTGGGGTAGATTTTTTAATCTAATTGTCACCAAATTAAATACTTACTGTGTGCATCTCCTCTGTTTTCTTATTCAGAGATACAGGGGAAAGAAATGGAGCAAGTGAAGATAAATTTCTTTGTCCCACTTATATCTGCAATTGTACTGATCACGCTGCTTCTGGGTTTTGTGATGCTGAAGAAGAACAGAAATATCTCATCTACCCACCAGAGTAAGTTACTACTTCTAATTCAGCTCTACTGTCCCTGAAGTCATAGGCTTTGCTGTTTGTAATCATCCCTTTACCTACATTCAAGCTGCTGACAGAAAGTTAGGTTTCATGTTGGACTGAAGCTAAGCTTCCTTGAACAATTTAGTTCCTGCAACAACTTAGTCCATCCAGCAGCAAGTCAAAACATCTTTCGCCTCTGTTGTCATGGGATCCACTTCTCCCTCTTCTTTGTGCTCTGTGAGACTGCCATGGCACCAGTGTACCACTTTTTCCTGCCATTTCCTCCTTTTTTTCCTGTTTTTCTAGGTTTTTTTGTATATTTGGCTGCTAAAATCATTGAACTGTATAAACATTTCTTGTCTATCACCATTTATAAGAAAGATGGAGATGGGGGAGGGATGAGGTGAGGTTTCCGTCAAGTGCAAGTATCCCTGTCGCCACAGAGCTGAAGGATCAAGGCATTGCTCCACCACACTGGACTGGAAGAATCATCTTGTACTAGGAACAGAATCCAATCTTTGCATTGTATTTCTCTGTTTTGTTCCAAGACTACGTCTCAGCAGTCCAGGGTTTATTCTGCACAGAAAGGATCCTCATGCTGACATCAGACTCTATCCTTCCTTGTAGCAAGGGGGAAATGCATTCCTCATAGTCAGTCCTGCTTCCTTACACAACCAAGGGTCCTGAGCCCCACCTCATTCTCCAAATCCTAAAATAACTGGACATTTGCTATCAACTCTTTTTCAGCTCCTATTTCTCACTTTTCTGTAAATCACATATTCATCTATTTTAGGTGTCAGTCTAGCAGTCTAGAAGCTATCCAGCTTGAAACCGAGGCCATCAGCCAGACTGCTGACTGGGAACTATCTCTGCATATAGCAAGGCCTGGGGTCCCATATTCTTAGATGCTCTGCCAGAACAAGAATCTTCCCCAGATACCCTGCAGAAAAACATGCAACATGTTTGTCTGATGGCTGAAATCCACTGTTTAGTGTTCTCTGCTTTTGTTTTTGCTCCAGAATGGTAGTAAATACAATGCTCTGCCTATCTTTTTGCTGTATCTTTCATTATGCACTGTGACACGGTAAAATCCTGAGTCAATGAAGAAGGCAGAACTGCATGGGTTACAGAAGGGAATGTCTCAGAAACAGAAGGAGTTAGGCCACAGTCTGTGAATCATAACCATCACTGGAAACATGATCAGAGGCAGGCTATTAGTCATGAGCCATAAATGCTTTTGGCAGAGCCAGTGTGCTTTGTACCAGTAACTTTCTTGTAAAGCTCCACAGCAGAAAGAGGAACTTCAGGGCACTCCCCACCTTCTGAGAAAAGTTGTGCAATTTCTATCAGACACTTGAAATTAGAAATCACCTGAAAAAAGACTTGCTGCAAACATAATTTCTGGTTATCTTAACTTTTTTTTAACTACCATCCAAGCTTAATATGCCCAGACAGTTAGTACCTCCACACTTTGTTCTTCTGTATTCTGACTGTATGCTGTACTAGTTGTTCAGGTGGATGCAGGGATAGAAAATGAAAGCATGAGGTATCACTCATATGTGTATAAATCTAAATATGTAAAATTAAGCTAAGCAGATAACGAAAAAATATTATGTAAGTAGGTCACGTTCCAATTTGACTATGTTCTCCTTTTCTTAATTTTGCTTCAAACCTTGAAGATAGAGCAATCTGTACATTATGGTATGCTTAGCTATAGGAATTAGTTTTACCTTTCAGAAAAGATTCTCCGATTCACTCAAGATGTGCCTGTTCTCCAGTCTTGAATGATCTCTGCACTTTATATTCTTCAACAGCATTGACAACTTTCAGGAGGAAGAATGCAGCAGAATTGAGAAAAAATTATTCTGATTGTGTTTGTAGGCCTGACATTTTCAGCAAGAGCAGGGACATTAGCATCACATTCTCAAGACAAATTTCAGCTCAGAGTTTCAGTCTGGGGACATAAATTCGCTATGGTTTCTGCTGGGTACAAATATTCTTTTCTATTAAATGATGTTGTGAGTTGCTAGATTCCACCTCAATTTTTACTCCATTTTCAAGTGTGTGAGAGAATGTGTATGTCCTTTTGAGTTAGATAAACCATTTGGGAGTCAGTTTATTAAGCTATTACACTAACATTCCAAATATTTTCATTCAGATTAATATCACTCAAATTTTATTAAATGTTAAATGTTTTATTTTTATGTAAAAGTTTATATTTGCTAGCAAACTTATTTAATGACATTAAAATATGTCTTTTTCTGTGTTGGTGTTTTATTCTCCTGCCATTAAAGCAGTATATTGGGGAATAGCCACATTTGCGGTCCTCAGGGAGGAAACACTCCCAGAATAATTTCTTGGAAGCAAATGTGTAAAAATGACCAAGAATGGCACAGCTGAAGGTTTCATATATTCATTCATGGAGCTGGATATATGTGCACAACTCTGTGTATGCATACCTCTTTGATTTATCGACCTACACACCTCAAAGATTAAATACAAAATTCCAGTCTGAAAATTTGGCCTTTAGATTCTGTGCTGCAGGTTGTCAAATATATCTCCAGTGAGTCACACAATCTTCTCTAATTCTTGATTAATACCTGGTTCCTTAAATAAAGCATGTGTTAAACTATCAGGTATACTAAATCAGGTGGATACTCACTAGACTTGTATTGTCTCTCTTGCTCTTTTTAACGCATGCTGTAGTTCAGTTCATTTTTTTCAACATTTTCCCCTCCCACTCAAGTCATCCACCTCAAATCCTAACACTGAGGTCATCAGAACAACAGCTAAGTCCTACCTTTGCTCCTACCCAAACAACAGCCGTGTGGGTCTCTTGTCTTCCATGTGACTAGATTCACGCACGTACACATACTTTCTTGAACTCACAGTCTCGGAAGTCTCTTTAACTAGGCTGTAAATCCCGATGTGCTGCTTATCTGGTCAGCATTACGCACTGAGGAAAAAAACATCACCAACCTTTCATGTTTGTCCCTAGGAGAAAAACAATAACCTCCACAAGGGATAAGATATCTGGAAATCTCTGCTAGGACTCTTGAGTCCTAGCATATTCACTTAGCAGAAAAAAAAAATTCCTAGCACTTGGAAATTCAAAAGTTTTTTCATTTTGAGTCTTAGTACATCTGAGGCAGCTTTTCACCCCAATACACTGTCTACTATCACTATCAGCAGCTGTAACTAGTGGAAAAAGGTGGGTTAGGTTTATCTTTTCGCAACTCCCTCCTATCCTTAATTTGTTCCTAATTAGTGGAGTTGTTTGTTTTCCCTCCTTGCCATCCCTCTACTTTAGGCTTCCAACCTCCTTCTATTACCTGATCAATTTCTCTACCTCCTCTTTTCTTGCTCTTAAAATTAACTGTAATTCCCTCCTGCATCTAAAGACAGTTAAGGGGAAAAAAGCAGATGGGCTTCAGAGAAAATCTTAGTTTGTCTCTATCTGTTCAAATGCATTAATCGTCTGCCCTAGAAGATGTAATGAGCACAGTAGCAAGGCACAAGAAAAGCATAGCTGATGTGCTGGCATTTTTGTCCTCCATACAAATGCATTCAGATTTCCAGGCTATCTCCTCACCCATTTTGTAGTTTTTTCTTTGACAGCATGCTTTCAGTCATTTAGTGACTCTATAAACATGGTAAGCAAACAAATGAGCATACACCCACTACACACCACAGCATATAACAGCTTCACTTAAAAACACTATTGCTTTATTTTTAGGTGTAACATTACGAATTTCAGAAAATGCTAAGAAATGGAAACTGTGTCAAACCAGTACCCAATGCCCTAAGGTAAAATACTGTCGTCATACTTATAGCTGTGATAGGTTGCTTCAAGTTCACTGATTAACCACCACTGAGCCACAGAATAGTTGACGTTGGAATGGACCTAGGGAGATTGTCCGGTTCAACCCCCCTGCTCAAGCAGTGTCACCTGGAGTAAGCTGCCCAGGTCCAGACAGCTTCTGAATATCTCCGAGGAGAGAGAATCCATGACCTATCTGCAAAACCTGCTCCAGGGCTTGGTCACCCTTCACAGTAAAAAAGGGTTTCCTTGTGTTCAGAGGGAACCTCCTGGGCTTCAGTTTGTGCCCATTGCCTCTGGTCCTGTCACTGGGCACCACTGAAAAGAGCCTGAGTCAGTCTTTTTCGCACCCTCCCTTCAGACTTTTGTACATACTGATGAGATCTCCCTGAGGCTTCTCTTCTCCAGGTTGAACAGTCCCAGCTCACTCAGCCTTTCCTCATAGGAGAGATGCTCCTGTCCCTTAATCATCTTTGTGGTCCTTCACTGGGTGCTCTCCAGTATGTTGATGTCTCTCTCGTACTGGGGAAACCAGAACTGGACACAGGACTCCAGGTGGACCCTCACCAGTGCTGAGCAGAGAGGAAGGATCACCTCCCTCAGCCTGCTGGCAATGCTTTCCCTGATGCTCCCCAGATACTGTTGGCTGCCTTTGCCACGAGGGCGCACTGCTGCATTATCTTCAACTTGTCCACTAGGCCATCCATGTCCTTTTCTGCAAAGCTGCTTTCCAGATGGTTTGCCCCAGCCTGTACTGGTGCATGGGGTTATTCCTCCCAAAGTTCAGGACTTCGAATTTCCCTTTGTTGAGGTTCTTCTCTGCCCATTTCTCCAGCCTCTTGAGATCCCTCTGGTGTGCCATTCCTCCCAGTTTTTTACCATCTTTAAACTTGCTGAGGGTACACTCGTTCCCATCATCCAGGTCATTAGTGAAGAGGAAGGTCAGTTAGTTTTACTGTGGATTTCTTAATGTCAGCCAGTGCTACTGCAACAAGCAATACTTTCCTATGGTTAACAAGTGAGGGGACAGTGAAGTGTTGCATTTTCAGAATATTCCACAGTCACTTCTGAGGGCATTGTCATTAACAAACCATCTCATGACAAGTGTACCTTAGTGGACTTTTTCCTCTTCAGGTGAAGTATTTGCTAACTGGAAGTTACATTTGACCACAGAAATATAGCAATTCTATTAAAGAAATCTAGTTCTTGTGTGTATTACCTCTAAGTTTTGATTTCAAATCCTCTTTCTCCCCCTTTCTCCCGAACTCAGAAAGAAAAAAGCAAAAAAGGTTTGGATATGAAATACTGGTCTACACTGGAATGCTGGGCTGTCATAATTCATAACTGGTCTTTCTTTGCTTTCCCATCTTCTGCACTGGGAGGGCCATAATTCTGGGGCAGGGAAAGGTCTAAGGAAGACATGTTTTCTGATCTCAGGATTGGCTACCAGAAGGTTCTCAAGAGAAACTTAGGCAGGAAAGCTGGTGAAAGAAGGGGGGGGGGGGGGGGGGGAAGATGAGAGCTGAGAAAGTGTAAGGAAAAGAGTTCTGGGCTGGCTTGTAACAGGAATTGCACATGCATCAAGTGCAGAGCCTAGGCACAAGCCCCTGCTTCAGAGACCCCAGGAAATAAAACATTCTGGCAGCTGAATGCCCGTTGGCTTCTGGGGAAGGCTACTCTCCAGCCAGCAGCAGTGCCACTAGCAAGGAGAGCTTCTGCACAGAAGTCCTGAAATCCAGAACATTCTCACAGTTCTTGACTTGCCATACGTCCTTACATACCTGTGAAATTTTATGACAGATATGCAAGATCGAATTTTCCTGCACTTTGGGTGTGCTTGATGCTGACACCTGCATACCTTTTGTCCACTGCTTTTGTTAATATAGCTCTTAAAACAAAAACTCATGAAAATCATAAAAATTATGCCTAGCCACTCATTCTTAACAAGCAGTCCTTATTATTTCAGAAGGACATAGGACTAGGAAAAAATAGAAAGATGAGGTGAGAATAGCTCAGATTGCAGTCACATTACATACATGCACAGCCAATGAACCATGTATATTGCCCACCCTCTTCTGAAACATACAAGTTAAATCCAAAGCATAACTATTTTGTTTCAGAATAATTTTCTAAAGCTTTCCTCAGCCTAGTTTTACTGTCTCCTCAGCCTAGTATTGCTGTTAGCAAAAGAAACTTCTTTGTTTTCAGAGTGTTCAAAACT